GTTAGACGTGTGGCTCGGGCTCTGTCTCGGGGTGGTCGGGTGTGAGGTATGGATGCTGGCTCGTAGGGGGAGTGGGGTTTGTCTTTTGTTGTATTTTTTGAGGGTTATTGGATCTTTATACTTAATTACTGGGGTTATAAGTCACCCTCATATAGATAGAGACATATATATACACGCACAAACACACTGACTAACGCAATTTTGTAAAGAAATGTGCAAAAACTTACATCTATTATGTAAGCATATTGACTTTCAAAATAACCCAGGATTGCAAATATATTCAACTCTCCACGCGTATTCTAACCAATCATGAAGTTGAGTTAAGTTCAGCAAGTTTATTTACCACCCCGGCTCTCTGCTCAGGCGTGGGCAATCATGATTACAGTTTTACATATATATCTGACACAGTACAGTCATATATATCTGACATTAGTACATTAGTCTGTGACTGCTGTAATTGTACATGGTAAAACAGAAATAGATATCATACATCATACAAAAAAAATATCACGTTGATATGTGCTATGTTTACGGCAGTTTTACATAGTAAATTTAGGATATAGCACGAGTATATCTTCAAATGTATCAGATGAAATTAAATATTCACATAGTTCCTCGCGTTAGGTGGTCTGAAAGGCTGTATCACATGGCATTCCGAGATATAGTGCTCAAGCGTGCGTTTGTTTTCTTCGTTACACAGTCTACATTTAGATTCATCTGCATTCCTTGACCCGTACAGTTGTCAGTACATCCCGTAACCTGAACGTATTCTGGCAATAACCACGTCACATTGTCTGGTTTGACTTCGGTGCCACCCATAGGAAGGCTTTATATATATATATATATATATATATATATATATATATATATATATATATATATATATATATATATATATATATATATATATATATATATATATATATATATATATATATATATATATATATATATATATATATATATATATATATATATATATATATATATATATATATATATATATATATATATATATATATATATATATATATATATATATATATATATATATATATATATATATATATATATATATATATATATATATATATATATATATATATATATATATATATATATATATATATATATATATATATATATATATATATATATATATATATATATATATATATATATATATATATATATATATATATATATATATATATATATATATATATATATATATATATATATATATATATATATATATATATATATATATATATATATATATATATATATATATATATATATATATATATATATATATATATATATATATATATATATATATATATATATATATATATATATATATATATATATATATATATATATATATATATATATATATATATATATATATATATATATATATATATATATATATATATATATATATATATATATATATATATATATATATATATATATATATATATATATATATATATATATATATATATATATATATATATATATATATATATATATATATATATATATATATATATATATATATATATATATATATATATATATATATATATATATATATATATATATATATATATATATATATATATATATATATATATATATATATATATATATATATATATATATATATATATATATATATATATATATATATATATATATATATATATATATATATATATATATATATATATATATATATATATATATATATATATATATATATATATATATATATATATATATATATATATATATATATATATATATATATATATATATATATATATATATATATATATATATATATATATATATATATATATATATATATATATATATATATATATATATATATATATATATATATATATATATATATATATATATATATATATATATATATATATATATATATATATATATATATATATATATATATATATATATATATATATATATATATATATATATATATATATATATATATATATATATATATATATATATATATATATATATATATATATATATATATATATATATATATATATATATATATATATATATATATATATATATATATATATATATATATATATATATATATATATATATATATATATATATATATATATATATATATATATATATATATATATATATATATATATATATATATATATATATATATATATATATATATATATATATATATATATATATATATATATATATATATATATATATATATATATATATATATATATATATATATATATATATATATATATATATATATATATATATATATATATATATATATATATATATATATATATATATATATATATATATATATATATATATATATATATATATATATATATATATATATATATATATATATATATATATATATATATATATATATATATATATATATATATATATATATATATATATATATATATATATATATATATATATATATATATATATATATATATATATATATATAATTCAGGCCATTGAGTGTCCGTTGGATCTACTAGTTCTTCCTTATGAGAACTTTTCATTATATGTGCAACCCTAGCAAAGAGGTATCCCAAGATCTATGTTCACAGTATCTTTGCTGCAGGCTTCCTTCGCCAATTTGTCTACGTGGTCGTGCTTGCGCATGCCAACATGAGTTGGTATCCATACAAATTGAATGTTGAAATTGCGCTTTATTGCATGAGCTACGTTACGCTTAATGCAATTCACAATTTCCTCATTGCCGCCTGCTTTCAAAGGATTTAGTGTCCGAAGAGCACTCTCCAGAGCCCCGAGACATTAAGAATTCCGTTGCAAAGATTATACCTGCCAGCTCCGTTTGCGTGTAGTGCTGGCCCAATTTTGCATTCTCATGTTAACTTGATGTAGTACGCACAACCAACTTTGTATCCACACTGTAAGGATCCGTCAACGTAACAACGTAACACACCCATAGATTCTGTGTGTTCCTTTACCGTTGCTAAAGCAATTTGTTTTAGCTGTTTTCTGTAGTAGACATGCAAGGTGCACGATCAATGTTGATTTTTTCCATGGTGGAATGGATCGACCCTTTGGCATTTTACTAACTGGGACATTGAACTTTGTAATGTTCATGGAGATTTTGTGTGTCGGAGGGCGCGCGTGTGTGTGATTAGTCACGTCTGCTTGCGTGATTTTATGTTGCAGTTGTTTTTGGAAATCTGAAAGATACAAGGGTTCCCTCAGAGCTTTGACCCCTAATACGGTGGAAAGGTTCTATCAGAAATGGATGGTAGGTTTAGTTCTGACCTCATGTTCACTATCTTTGCTGTTCTCGGGGCGAGGAGGATAATCCTCATGGCTTCATTTTGCACTACTTCCAAGCTATTTATTTATGATTCTTACATTGCAGCAAGTGTAGTGCATGGTAGTCTACAACTGACCTTTTAAAGGCCAGGTCAAACAGTCTAGCGAGCTGAACACTGATGCCATGATCTCTTCCGACAAGAACTTTCAATTGTTTCAAGCTCTCTCAGTCTCTTCTTCATCGGTAACGAAACGCGGGTTGTAAAGCGCGTAGATTTCATTCGTCTCTTCCTGTGGCTCCTAAATCCTTCCGCCATTTTCTCCAGCCACTGTTCGAGGCGACGTCTTTATTGCCTTTTTATTATTCATTAGTAGACATCATTATTCAAAGACCAAGTTCCTCAAACCAAGAACATTCAACGCTACTCAGAAACAGCGCTCTTAAAAGAAACTCAAACGGTACTTCAACTTGTCTTCGAAGTTTAGCCAAGTTGGGGATCCCTTTTTTCCTGCGTGTTGAGATGGAAACCATGATGGAGGAGGGAAACAAATGAGCTTCGTCGCCACACTGATGGACCAACAACCTAACCTTCCCTGACCTCAAACATAGGGCGTTCTGCTGGGCCGTCAGAATCTCGTTTTCTTTCGTTGATGGTGTTTCGTTCGTTCTCTCTCTCTCTTTTTCGCCCTTTCTCTCTGCCTCACTCTCTCTCTCAATATATATATATTTCTCACACAGTTTTTCCTTCTTCCTCTCTTTATCTCACTCTCTCTAGTTATTCTCGAATAGTGACTACACTGAAAAACACATAGAGATTTACAAATTGATATATATGTAACGACACAAATCCAGTTGCAAACTACACACATAAACGCAAGAACACATATAAGTACAAGACCACACATCCCTAAACACACACACACACATACACACACACACATAAATATGTTTGTGTGTGTGTGTGTGTGCGCGCGCGCGCGTGTGTGTGTGTGTGTGTGTGTGTGCGTGTGTGTGTGCGCGCACTTGAATTGTACAGTACGTAGCTACAAACAAACAAAAAAGGCTACACATTGCGTACCTGTCTTTCTTGAAGCACTCTCCGCTCTGCCTTTATTCCGCCATATGCAAAGTTCTCTCAGATCTGCATTTTTATCGTCAACATGATTTTCATTTTGGTGGAAGGTTCTGGCTCCCCTTCCCCCCCTCCCCGGCACCTGCCCCCTTTGTTTGGGGTCTCTTACTCTATATTAACTTGTTCTTCTTTCTTTTTTATCCGTCTGTCTGCCTGTTCTATTGTCTATCTTTCTTCTTTATTATTTGTCCATCTCTCTCTCTCTCTCTCTCTCTCTCTCTCTTTCTCTCTCCTTCTCTTTCTCTCTTCCCTTCTCCCCCTCCCATCTCCCCTCTCTCCCCTCGCCTCTTTCCATCCCCTCTCTCTTCTTTCCTCTCTCTCCCTCCCTTGTCTCCCCTCCTCACTCTGCTCTTTCCTCTTTCTTTCCCCTTTCTTTCATCTCCCCTCCCCCTTCTCCCCTCGCCTCATTCCCCTCACCCCTCTTCCTTCTCCCCCTTCCCCACTACTCTCCCCCTTCATCCCCTTCCCCACTACCCTCCCCCTTCACCCCCTTCCCCA